TTTATTGCATCTCTTTTGGAGGTTGCTTCCAAAAGTTGAAATTTTGGGCCTCCCCTGGTGGCACAGGCGGTTGAGTGCCACGCTGTGGAGCTGTCCACAGCCTCTGCAGCACCGGTTTGATCCCGGCTGGCCCATGAGGGGCCCACATCGTGCGTCAGACCTCTCCTGTCTCGCCCGCTGCTCCCCTTAGCAGTGTATTTCATCAGTCTGCCTGTTCTGCTCCCCGCTCTGTCTCTGGTGAATCCTCTCACCCTCCCGTGTATCTGGCCTGTACCCCGGTTCTTGTACAAATAAATAAATAAATCTTTAAAAACAAAAAACAAAAGTTGAAATTTTATTTCTGAGTTTATAGCGGAGACCTGTAGAAACAAATAAAAGGGCAAAGCAGATATCATCTGTTTAGGGCAAGACTGAATGACTGGCTATAATAAAAATGACTTTATTATAATAACCAACAATAGCAGAATGGAGGAGAGTGAGACGTATTAGTATGTAAGGATTTAATGAATGATTTTCCTTGATAGGAAAGACATTGACCCCAGGCCTTTAATTTAAATACCTAAGTGGTATTTAATTTGTTACCAATTGACAATAGTATTTCAAGTCTCAAAATTGAATATATAATTTGTTAAAAGTTATTTGTTTAGTCTTTGTATAGAAATAATACGGTAAATAGTAAAGAGGTTGTTGGATAGGTGACTGCTTTGTGTAATAGACATGTGGAAATTTTTATTTGTAGAGCACAGTGAAAGTTTACAAGTCATTTTTTGGCTTTTAAAGTTGTCCTTATCAAACCGAAAGATCAGGGACTCTACCTGGGACTCTGAGTGTGTGGGTCTGTATGTGTACAGGTGCGCACACACCTTGGAGTGGGATGAGAACTGGGATGCTCCTCTGAATGTATATAGTTTCATTCTGCCCTGAGGCTCACGGAAGGGGTGTGACTGCAGTTAGCAAAAATAATGAAAAGTAAACATCTGGGGAGGGATGGGGAGTGGAGTGAATAGTTTCTAGTACAGAACAAAGCACAAAGGTGAAAGAGATATTCTTGTTTTAGCCTGTTCTGTACACAAAAACTGCTTTTGGAGTTTCATACAAATAGCCCTTTTTTAAAGTTTATTTTTCTTCATCGCATCTTAATTTGATTGACTTTCAGGTGATTCTAATTGTTAGCATTCGAAATTTATTTTAATGGGAAATATTAATGACTTTCCATTTTTCCCACCTGAAATGAAGTTCATTGTGCAAAGATTTAGATTGGTAGCACAACTGAATAATTGTTCAACTTTCTAATAAGATATAAGAATTCTTTTAAAATAAGGTCACAGAATTCTTTTAATTTATATCTCAGTTTAAAAAATTAATTTGTAGTATATGGTGTTATTTCAGAAAGTTTGAAAAGTAGAATGGGAAATGAATATATCACATTCCATCATCCTAATGTAACTATTATCATTTTGATAAATTCTATTCCAAAATTTTGTCATATAAACATCTATGTTATTTAAAATTTTTATTCAATTTAATTATGACCTTTCCCCCTTAGCACTGAGTTATAAACATTTTTCATGTTGCCACAAAATCTTTTGATATTTGCTTAAAGTCAAATTTTTTTAAGTAGGAATCTCCCTTAGTGCCTTTCAAATATGGTGCGGTTTACAAAAAACAAAATGCACACAGGTTCTCAGGAACACAGCTAATGTATTAAGTGAGATAGAACCACAAAGAGGTTGAAACAAAGCTAGATTATCCCCTTTATTAGCTGGGAAAGGTAATGTGTAAACATGGACTGGAAAGTAGTACATTTTTCTTTTTCCAGGATAGAAATTGAAACCTTGTTTAAGTTCTCACGAGGTTTTTAGAGAATTGTAAGGTATAACACAAGTGCTTTGTATTCATTAAAGTAAAAAGATTGTAATATGGGGATGATTTGCTTTTATCAAGTGTAGGGGATAATTCAGGTAACTCTCATCCCTTTGTACTTCCGTGTTCTTTTTTCTTATATTACAAATTGAACTTATTTGAGAAGTAATAATTGCTTAAAATATCAATTTAGGGGCCTCCCTGGTGGTGCAGGGGTTAAAATTTCAGTGATATCAAGCTATTGCCAGCCACTTTGGCATGAGTTTGATCCCCAGCCAGGGAGCTACCCACATGGAACAGCAGACCTCTCCTGTCTCGGTTGCTGCTCCCCTCAACAGTGTATTTCACTCTGCTGCCTGTTCTGCTCCCCACTCTGGTGAATCCTCTCACTCCTCCCATCCCCGGCACCTCTGGCCTACACCCCAGTTCTTGTGTGCATAAATAAATAAAATAAATCTTAAAAAATATGAATTTAAATACGGCCTTTGCCTTTCTGTTCTCCACTCTGTCTCTGGTTAATCCTCTCACCCTCCTGCGCATCTGGCCTGTACCCGGGTTCTTGTATGCATGAATAAATAAATCTTTACAAAAAAAAAATAGCGCCTTTATGAAAGGCTCAATTTGCAATTAATAAATACCTACATTTTCTCTCTCTTGGAGTTACATACCCGAAATGATACTATAGCATTTTCAGGACCTAAGTTTAAAGATGTGGTTGACAAGGAATTGATTGATAAGTAAAAAATTAAAAGAAAAAAAAGTCTTCATGCTGAAAATTGATTTGAACCCTAAGAGCAAAGAACCCATCTCTCTGCAATAATGTTCATTGAACTCCTAGATAAATTATTTTTGTGCAAACAAATATGAAAAGTTGTCCCCTCATTTGATCTGAAGTTTGCTGTCAGAAGCAGCTTTTACTTTTAATGTCTATATGCATACATTGTTTCTTGGATGTGCTGAGCTTGGTTCTGACAATTTTATTTTCTGGCTTCACCTATGGCAACTTTCAATGCTTATATCCTGCATTCAATATATTTTCCCCTTTTCTTATCCCTAGTTTTTCCCAGATCAGCCTAGTTCAAACAGTTGTTTGTTCCTCCTTCTCTTCACTGTGTCATAACCTCACCTGGGTCTCAGTCAGTCATGGTTTTCTCCCAATGTCTCTTTTTTCTAGCATTAAATTCCACCATCTCTCATATTCCCTTGTCCCCTTCTCTCCACTCTCCCTCTTAACCTCAGAACCCTTACTTTGTTTATTGATGTCCACTGGTTTTTGAAGGTGTTGTACATTACTGAATTGTTGTACATTATTGAATTGTACATTTGAAGGTGTTGTACATTATTGAAATGTAAGCATCCAGTATTTGTTTTTATTGTTCTGACTTGCTTTACTACTCACAATTCCCTCAAACTCCTTCCATTTTGTTGAAAATGGATGCATTTCATTCTTTTGGGGAACATTACCTTTTCTTGTATTTTAAACGACAAGTTGAGCAAGGTGGATATTAGTTCTTTAAAGGTTTGATAAAATTCATTTGTAAAAGGCCTCCCGGGTGGCGCAGTGGTTGAGCGCTGGGTTGAGAAGCTGCCTGCAGCCTCTGCAGTGCTGGTTTGATCCCTGGCCGCTGGGCGAGGGTCCCACATGGCGCTCAGACCTCTCCTGCCACACCCGCTGCTCCCTTCTGCAGTGTACTTCATCAGTCTGCCTGCTCTGCTCTCCCCTCTGGCTCTGGTGAATTCTCTCACCCTCCTGCGCTTCTGACTGTACCCAGTGCTTGTATAAATAAATAAATAAATATTAAAAAAAAATTCATTTGTAAAGTCGTTTGGTCCTGGGCTTTTGTTTATCAGGAGTTTTTTTGTTTTTTTTTTAAATTACTTTTTCAACTTCCATACTTGGTTGTGATTGGTTTGTTTAACTCATATGTTTCTTCTTAGTCTTTTTTTTTTTTTAAATATTTATTTATTTATTTATACAAGCACTGGGTACAGTCAGAAGCGTGGGAGGGTGAGAGAATTCACCAGAGCCAGAGCGGGGAGCAGAGCAGGCAGAGGGACCGAAGTACACTGCTGAGGGGAGCAGCGGGGGGCAAGAGAGGTCTGCCCTCCATGTGGGACCCTCCTTTGGTGGCCAGGGAGCAGCCGGGGATCAAACCGGCACTGCAAAGGCTGCAGGCAGCTTCGCAACCCAGCGCTCAACCGCTGCGCCACCGGGGAGGCCCTCTTACATTAGTCTTAATAGACTGTATTTACCTCAAAATTTGTCCATTTCTTTAAGGTTATCAAATTCAATGGCATACAGTTCTTCATATTAATGTCTTGTGATCCTTTTATTTCTGTGCTATCTATGATGTTTTCTCCTGTTTCATTTGTGATTCTGTTTATTATTTTTTCTCTTTTTTTATGTTAGCCTAGCTAGAGGTTTGTCTATTTGTTTATCTTCTTAAAGAACCAACTCTTCATTTCATTGATTTTATTGTATAGTCTTTTTGATCTCTATTTCATTTGTTTCTGCTCTTTTAAAAATATTTCTTTCCTTCTACTAACTTTAGGTCTTATTTTTTCTTTTTCAAGTTGCTTTAGATTGTAGCATTAGATTGATCATTTGGAATTTTCTTACTTCTTAATGTGGACCTGTATTGCAATTTTCTTCCCCCCCAGGACTGCTTTTGCTGCATTCCATAGATACTGGTAACTTGTATCTCCATTTTTGTTTGTCTCAAGGTGTTTTTAAATTTCTGCTTTGATTTCCTCTTTTTCCTATTAGCTATCAAGCAGCATGCTATTTAGGCTATATGTATTCATAATTTTTACTGTCCCCCCCCTTATAGTTAATCTCTAAGTTTATGGCATTATGTCAGAGAGAAAACTAGGCATAATTTCTTTCTTTGTAGTTTTTTACAATAGATTTGTGTCCCAACACATAGATTGTTCTTGAAAATGTTCCATGGGCACTTGAAAAAATATGTGTATATAGCAATTTTTGGATGGAGTGTTCTGTAGATATCTGTTAGACCTATTTGATCTACTTTCTCTTCTATGGTTATTGTTTCCTTATTTATTCTGTCTTTTTGATCTTTTCATTGTTGTAAGTGGGAGTATTAAAGTTGCCTAGTTTGTTTGTTTGTTTTTTACAGGGGAAAGCATGAAAGCAGTCCCTTACTACCATATATTCTGCAGCTGAGTTTCCCAAATTTGGGGAAATAGTAGGGTTTAGCGCATCTGGAGATGAACCTTGTCCTGGGAAAACCACCACTATGATAGTGGCATCTCCCCTGCAAGTAAGTATAAAGTTGCCTTGTATTATAATGTTTTAACAAATTTAGTTCTGTTTTATGTATCTTGCTGCTCTATCATTTGGCACGTGTACTTATGAATATTATTTTTTTTTGTTGTACTAGATCCTTAATTTTGATATAGTGTCTGTTTCTATTTCTTATTATCTTTCTTTCTTTCTTTTTGTTTTTAAATAGAGCTGTGCAGATACTATATAGGTTTTTTTTAAAAAGATTTATTTATTTATTCATACATGAGCTGGGGTACAGGCCAGAGTTGTGGGAGGTGAGAGGATTCACCAGAGACAGAGTGGGGAACAGAACAGGCAGATTGACTGAAATACACTGCTGAGGGGAGCAGCGGGCAAGTCAGGAGAAGTCTGCTGTGCCATGTGGGTTGCTCCCTGGCCGGGGATTGAACTCATGCTGCAGTGGCTGTGGCTAGCTTCATAGGTTGCATCTTTTTTTTTTTTTTTTAAAGATTTATTTATTTATGCACACAAGAGCTGGGGCACAGGCCAGAAATGTGGGGGGTGAGAGGCTCCACCAGAGACAGAGTGAGGAACAGAATAGGCAGATTGACTGAAGTACACTGCTGAGGGGAGCAGTGGGTGAGCCAGGAGAGGTCTGCCGTGCCATGTGGGTTGCCCCCCGGCTGGCCAGGGATCAAACTCGTGCTGCAGAGGCTGCAGATTGCTTCATAGTGCATTGCTTAACCCCTTGCACCACCAGGGAGGCCCCATAGGTTGCATCTTAACCCCTTGCACCACCAAGGAGACCCTTCTTATTACCTTTCTTAATTGGAAATCTATTTTATCAGATGTAAGTACAGCTGTTCTGATCTTTTTGGTTGTCATTTTTCTGTATAACTGTCTTCCAGCCTTTAACTCTTAGTCTATGCTGTCTTTGTTGGTAAGATTAGTTTCTTATAAACAACAGAGGTTGTTTGTTTCACAGTCCTTTCAGCCACTCTCATCTTTGGTGAATTCAGGCCATTTACATTTAAGGTGGTTTTTGAGACATAAGTGCTTGCTGCCATTTTTTTTTTTGGGGGGGGGGTTCATTTTTTTAAGTCTTCCTCTTATGCTTTGTCTAGGTTCAATTTCCATTGTTTTATGTGTTACTTTTTTTTAAAATGTATTACTTTTGTTTAAGTGTTCTACTGAGATTAGTATGTGAGGAACTATTTGTGTGACTCACTGATTAATCTGGTCTCTGATTATTTTTTTTTTTTTTATAGAGGCATTTTATTTATTTATTTATTTATTTGTTTGTTTTGTTTATACATGCACTGGGTACAGTCAGAAGCGCGGGAGGGTGAGAGAATTCACCAGAGCCAGAGCGGGGAGCAGAGCAGGCAGAAGGACTGAAGTACACTGCTGAGGGGAGCAGCGGGCGGCAGGAGAGGTCTGCGCGCCATGTGGGACCCTCCTCCGGTGGCCGGGGAGCAGCCGGGGATCGAACCGGCGCCGCAGAGGCCGCGGGCAGCTTCGCAACCGAGCGCTCAACCGCTGCGCCACCTGGGAGGCCCTGGTCTCTGATTCTTTTTGATGGGCCACATTGTTATTCTTTTCCTTCTCCTACTCTTCCATGTTAATTGATTCATATATCTGTTGCCTTTATATTCACTGTTCTTTTGCTTTATAATAACGCCTCTAGAATTTCTTTCATATGTGACTTGGTGTTGATAAATTCTTTTAGGTTTTGATTTTCAGCAGAACTCCTTACTCTTCCCTCTCTCTTGAATGTTAATCTCGCTGGGTAAAGTATTCTAGGTCGGCACTATTTTTCTTTCAGTACTCCTTATATATCTCATTCTAGTGCCTTCATACTTGTAATGTTTCTCTTGAAAAGTCTGCTCACAGTCTGATTGGCGTTCTTTTATAGGTTACTGTTGTGCAACCATCCCAGACTGGGCAGGTTCATTGTTGATTTGGGCAAATAGATAAAAGATCTTGGAGTCTTTGGTAGATTTGACAGTGCTGAATCAGGGGACTGGGTACACAAGCAGGCCAGCAGGCAGGGAGACTGGCATGAAGGAGGCAGGGAGACTGGGAGGTGGCAGCAACCAAGTCTTCCAGCCCCAGTGATCTCCATGCTTCTTCTCTGACTCCTATCTGGATTTTCCCTCTCAATCTCTTGCTCTTATCTGTTATGATCTCTCTTAGGCATTCATACTTATAGGTACATGCACCCAGTGCTCTCTGACTTCTCAGCAAGGGTGTCCATAATTACAGGTGAACATGCCCCATATTTTTGCTCCCAAGTGCTTTTTGCAATAACCCATTATGAAACCTTGGAGGAAAGCAAGGCCACAGGTGGCAGCCATAGAGACTAGCAGTGGGAACATGAAAAAGAGCCTTAGCTACTCCATTTTCCCTACAGTTACCCTTTTTACTTTTTTTTTTTTAAAAAGATTTATTTATTTATGCATTCAAGAACTGGGGTACAGGCCAGAGTTGCAGGGGGTGAGACAGAGTGGGGAACAGAACAGGCAGACTGACTAAAATACACTGCTGAGGGGAGCAGCAGCAAGATAGGAGAGGTCTGCTGCACCATGTGGGTAGCTCCCTGGTTGGCCAGGGATGGAACTCATGCTGCAGAGGCTGTGGATAGCGTCATAGTTCTGTGCTTAACCCCTTGTGCCACCAGGGAGGCCCACCCTTTCTACTTTTGATGTTTTAAATATTTTATCCTTGTCATTATTTTTGACAGCTTTAGTATAATGTGCATTTGTGTGTGTTTGTATGGTATTTTATTTGGGACTCTTGGGGCCACTTGGATCATAGTATCTGGTTTGTTTCCTATATTGAGATGATTTTCAACAATTATTTCTTTAAAATTTTTATGTCTTTCTCTTTCTTTTTTCCTTTTGGGACTCCTATGATACAAATATTACTTCTCTTCACGTATTCTAAAGGGCTTTAGACTATTAAAATTTTTTTCTACATTGTTTATTTGTGTGTTTGTAGCGTAAGGTAAAAAGTATCAGGCTTTTCTGCCCTCCCACCATTAGGATAGATGAGGGAACCCTGTGGTCCTGAATGCATGCCTGATGGTGGGCACCTGAAGTGGGTACACCTGGGCTGAGAGATTGAGTTTATAAGGGCGACGTCACGGGGACGCCAGCAGAAGCTGAGAGAAGAAGAAGAGAAGCAGAGAGAATGCCAGAGAGCCCAGATAGAGTGAGGATTTGCTGGAGGCTGGGAGAACTGCCAGCCTTCTGGCCCCCCAGCACCCCTGCTTGCCATATGCCTGGTAAATCTAAATAAAAGACCTGCAAAAGCCACTAAGGACTCTGACTCCTCCTTTACCTGGTCTGTTGGATAAGAAAACCTGCACTTCCTGTCCTTTACAATTGTTGTAGTTGGCAGGATGATCCATGCAGATGGGTACTGGAGCCCTCCGAAGACCTGGAGGGACTAAGGAGTAGCAGACGAGCCTGTGACAGCGCTGGAGGCGCCATGGCAGCACAGAAGGTGGACAAGGTCCAGGAGCTACGGGATAACACCAGGCCTGGAGGTGGAGACGGCCTAAGAGGACCAGCCAATGACCCTTGAGGCAGCAAGAATCATCGGGGAAGAGAGGACCACGATTCAGAGCTCACCAGTGCTGATGGCAGGGAGAGGCCTAATGGACTTGGACTGATGGACTTGGACTGATAATCCCACCAGAAGGCAGAGGAACCTTGGCAGGTTAAGTTTTTGGGACCCTGAGGGAGGATGCTATTGTTTGTACACCCCAGGAGATGGGAATCTGGGGGTGGCCAGTGGGCCTTGATGGCCAAAAGCAGCCTGTGTATGCCCAGCAGCTAGGCAGAGGAGAAAAGCCAACTGAGAAGGCAAAAGCTGGCACTGATGCTAAGTTTGGGAAACTCTGAGTGGCTGTTAAGCACTAAGTAAGCTGAGGAAGGCCAGTGAGTCTCATAAAATCACCGGTGGGTGATGCCCTGCTTGTTGTCGAGTGAGAGTGAGGAGCTGAGGAACCTGTCCTTGGGGGATTGGAGGGGAACATGGCTTGGGGTGGAGCCCAAGCCAAAGAGGGGACCCAAGAGAGGCCGCATGTGGAGTTTGGATCCCCGACCCATGTTCTTGTGCAATGGGTTGGCCTGAGTGCAGGGGTCTGCGTTTTGCATTGGTGGCTATGAAAGCTGAGTGTTGGAGCGACAGCAGACAGAAACCCTGAGGGCTGGTGATTACCCCCAACAATATAGAATCGTCAATCCCAGAGTGAGTGCATCCTGGGGGTGGATGCGGTGTGTGGCTTGTGGCTGAGACCACAGCCAGAGAAGGCCAGGAAGCCTGATGGCTCCTGGTGTCTGACAGTAGATTGCCGTGAGTGGTTCCCCTCCCTCGTATGAACAGTGCCTTTGGCAGCAGATTTGGTGGATCATTTGCTGGTGCCAATAATTGTCTTTTGCCACTAGGATGGTGCCCTGCCTGGAATTATTTGTGTTCTGTTGTATTTTATGTATTCTGTTGATCTATTGTGATGTATATTATTTGTTTTTGTGGGCCATGGCTGCAGTGTTCTATTGCCAAGAGAAACATATAGACTGTATGGCAGAAAACCTTGAGGGGGTGGATTGTAGCGTAAGGTAAAAAGTATCAGGCTTTTCTGCCCTCTCGCCATTAGGATAGATGAGGGAACCCTGTGGTCCCAAATGCATGCCTGATGGTGGGCACTTGAAGTGGGTACACCTGGGCTGAGAGACTGAGTTTATAAGGGTGGCGTCATGGGGACGCCAGCAGAAGCCGAGAGAAGAAGAGAAGCAGAGAGAACGCCAGAGAGCCCAGATAGAGTGAGGATTTGCTGGGGCCTGGGAGGACTGCCAGCCTCCCGGCCCCCCAGCCATGTACGTGCTAAATCTAAATAAAAGACCTGCAGAAGCCACTGAGGACTCTGACTCCTCCTTTACCCGGTCTGCTGGATCAGAAAACCTGCACTTCCTGCCCTTTACAATGTTCTTTGACATACTGTTGTAGAATTCATTAATTCTCTTCATTGCTTCTGTTTGTCTGCTATTGAGGCCTTCAATTGTATTTATAAAAATCCATCTATAGTGTTTCTTAGCCCCATTATTTCTAAGTGTAGCTGCTTCATATTTTGTGTTATCTTTATTCTGTTGCTGTTTTATATACTTTATTGTTTTTTGGAGTTCCATACAGTTCTTAGAGCTGTCACCTTGAACTCCTCTTCAGTCATGGGGTTGCGATTCCGCTCAGGGCTTAATTGCCTCAATGTTTGTGGTGTGTTCTTCTGTCTCCTCATTTTAAATTTTTTATGGATTGTAATAGGGATAGACTTTCAGACTGTTATCTTTGCACCTGTTGAGGTAATCAGAGGATTTGTACTGGCAAGGGGGAATAGGTACAAGAAAAGACTGGGGCAGTAGGGCACCAAAGGATCACCTCTAGTAAACTTAAGAATTCAAGCTTCCTACTGTTCTGGGGTGCCAGAGTTGTCTGGTGGGAATCCACAGTGATCCCCTCTTTTAGGTCAGCTTTTCAGTTTTAGTGTCTCTTATAGTGTCATGTCTGCTTCTACTGTAGGCTATATTTAAGCACTAGTTGCAGTGCTGGGTACAGATCTAGCAGATATGGGATCACAGGTGTTTTTTTTTTTTTTTTTTTTTTTTTGCAGTGTAGAACCTTATCCTGTGGTGTTTTCTCCTTTTATTGACAGGTTCTTGAGCTCTTGCTTGTTCAAGGTTCATTTGTTGTTTTGTTTTTTGCTGCGAGGTGGCAGGTGTTTTGAATATCCTAGCCTAAGTTTTGAGTAGTCGCCTCCCAGGAGAAAACAGTGCTCCAACCTATTTCTCCCTGCAAATTCTAGCTGTTCTATATTGAGAACTTCAGGTTCCAGCTAGTAATCCTTGCTCTGTACCCACACCCCTGCAGTTCTCTAAGTTCTCTTACCAATTCAGTGCCAGGTCTCAGGAGTTGCTGATGTGCATGTACCTGAGTCAACAACTTTAGGGGGCTCTGCATAGCAGCTGCCCCTTCCTTTTGTGGGTTGCGCTGCCTCACTATCACTACAAAACTGTTCAGTTAAAGGTTTTCCTATCCCTTTCCACTAGACCAATGCTTAATATAGTCTATTTTCCTGTCAGGAATATTTTTGCTTTGTTTTTTGGCAGTCTAATTGTGAGTATATGTAGGAGTGGAGTCTGGTATCTTCACTCTGCTGCCATCTTGCCAAACTCCTCCCATGTACTTTTGGAGATCAGTAACAAGGATAGAACTAAGACTGGAAGTGGAGGTTGGAGGTGAGTAGAGTGGAGGAGATAATGAAATTCCTTTCTTTTCTCTCACACTGTAGGACACTCAGTAACTTCTTCAGTCCACAAAGGACAGGCCAGAGTCCTTATTACTACCACAGAACTGAAATGCTATGTAAATTAAATGCAGTATTGCAGCATTTTAATACACAATAAGCTTGAACACATTGATCTGTGAGAAAGGATAATATAATTCAAATGTGGTTCTTCAAATTAACTGCAAAGTCAGTAATACTGTCTTTCAGCCTTTTAGCCTTAAAAGCCACCTGTGTCGATTTTTAAAATATGTCTTATTACAGATATGGGTCAAAAGCCGTGGTAATGTAATTTTTGAATATATTATCAGCAGTGTTGCTATTTCACATTCCTTATTGATAAAATTGATTAAAAGGACCTTCAAAATTAGATATCATGTCATTTTCATCCAGGATTTCAAAGATCACCAGGTCCTGTGAAATGTTATCTAGCCCCGGTGGTTAGAATTCAATTCTGCTCACATCTTCTCAGCATACCAAGTCCTCCCAATTTATCCTTCTGTCCTCCCAACATTCTCAGTTCACTTGGCTGAGAGAATGTGTGTCTGATGGGAGCCAATGTCACATACTTGGGTCATTCTTCAGTGTACATTTTGAGAGCAGAGAAGAGGTGATGATAGAATAGGCCAAACGTTGTAACTACTTTATTAAACCCACTGTCATTCTTGAATCTGCTGTTTTTGTATCTGCATTCTTGCCAAACCTTTACTTGTGACTCAAGCAACGTGGTAACCAAACTTGATCATACTCAATACACTTTATCCTGGAGAGGGAGTCTTAGGGAGAGTGGCCCAAGACTGCCCCCAGTCAACTTGAATTCATTCTTTGATCAAATATTTTTGCCCCACTAAGTATCAGATTTTGTGCTGGGTGCTGGGGATACAAAGATGAACCAAAATAGACAGGGCCTCTACCATAGTGAAGTTTTAGTCCAGCTGGATAGAGATGTTAATGAACGAACCCCACTCTGTGTATTGCTACAATGGTAAGTGTTGGAAGTTGTACCTGGTACCACCCTGAGAGCATAGGAGAGAAGCTTTGGCTACTCCAGGGCACTGAGCCTACCCTGAGCCCCTCAGGAGGAGTACTGGGTTCTGGGGATGGTCAGGGAAGCAGGAGTCCCAGAGAAGGTGCAGCATGTAACTTCCCTGCACAAGAGGAGAAGAGTGAGTTAAAGGACATGAGAGAAGGCTGGTGAGTTTGGAGAACAGAAATGGAGTGGAGGTGGGGAGAGAAAAGGGAACTGACTTTGAGGACAAAAATGTAGAATTTTAGTTTGTATTTGGTTAAGTTTAAGGCATTTGTGAACTATCCATGGGGAAAAGATATCAACTAAGCAGCAGGACATGCTCTTTTCATGTAGAGTAGAACATAATTTGGGAAGTGAAAAGTTATTCCAGATCTGGGCCTCCCCAGTGGTGCAGCGGTTGAGCGCTGGGTTGCAAAGCTGCCCCCAGCCTCTGCAGCGCAGGTTCGATCCCCGGCTGCTGCCCGGCCACCAGAGGAGGGTCCCACATGGCGCGCAGACCTCTCCTGCCGCCCGCTGTTCCCCTCAGCAGTGTCCTTCGGTCCTTCTGCCTGCTCTGCTCCCCGCTCTGGCTCTGGTGAATTCTCTCACCCTCCCGCGCTTCTGACTGTACCCAGTGCTTGTATAAATAATAAATAAATAAATCTTAAAAAAAAAATTAAAAAAAAAAAGTTATTCCAGATCTCATGTAATTCCAAAGACTCATTCCTTTGTCTAACCAGCTGAAGGAAGTTTTTGATCTCTGATCTCCTGCGCCAACACAAGGGTTATTGAATAACTACCTTGTCTTACCTTTCCTTCTGCTTAATACCTCATAACATAACATCTTAGTACCTCAGGCCTTCTGCTTATTGCCTTCTCTTTGGTGTCTTCTGACTTCTACCCATGTTCCTGAGGAGGGTCTGATTGGCCCATTCAGCCACAGTTGAGACTGTGGGTAGATCTTTCATGTCTGCCCATGTCTTTCATGTCTGCCCTGTGGTGCTGGCAAATGGACATTAAGTAGTGGTGATGTTGCACAACATAGTGAATCTACTAAAGCCCACTGAATTGTATACTTTAAAATGGTGAGGTTTATGTGATGTCAATTATAGCTTAAGTCTTACTGAGTCTAGAAATTGTTCAATTATATCATGATATATTACGATACCTTGAGTCAGAAAATCTGGGTCACATTTACTTGTGAAGTTATCTTTACCCTCTACACCTAGAATAGGCGAAGCTTTATTTCCTAGGTTTCTATGAAGATTATATAAGACAATCATGTGATGCTAGCTGTAAGAAGGCTATAAACTTTCTTTATTGTTATGCTTATGGCTTTGTAGGGTAAGGAAAAATGTCAGGCTTTTCTGCCCTCCCGCCATCAGGATAGATAATGGATCCTTGTGGTCCTGAATGCATGCCTGATGGAGGGCACCTGGAATAGGGTGTGGGCATAGGTAGATGGGATTCACCTGGGCTAAGACTGTGCTTTTAAGGGTGGCGTCACGGGGACGCCAGTAGAAGCTGAGTAGAAGCCGAAAGAAGAAGCCCAAAGCAGAAGCAGAGAACGCCAGAGAGCCCAGATAGAGTGAAGATTTGCTGGAGGCTGGGAGGACTGCCAGCCTCCCATCCCCCCAGCACCCCTGCCTGCCACATACCCACTGAACCCCAATAAAAACCTGCAAAACCACTGAGGACTCTGACTCCTCCTTTACCCAGTCTGCATGGGATCAGGAAACCTGCACTGTGTCCATTCCTGCCCTTTACAGGCTTGGTTTGGAATCCTTTTTTTGATACATGTATTTGTTAAGCAGCTTCTGTGTGGGTTTGAGAGGATCTTGAAATCAAGAGAATTCCCCAAAATAGAGTCATGGCAAAGACCTAGGGATTTCCTTGCTGCTGACCCTTCAGCTAGTCCTGTTCTGGGCAAGCTGAGACATGACATTTGGGTCTCTTTCCTGCCTCTCTTTTCTGGCCTAGCAGTCTTTTGGATTATCATTTTGGCATCTCTTCCATCTTTTCTCAAGTGATGAGTGTTTTCCAAAGTGAGCTCATCACATTAATCATGTTAGGTTGTGAGTTGCCTGTTTAAGCTGTATTTGGATCTTAAAGACCAAAAAACACACAAAAGCTCAGAGGGAGCATCTGTAGGTCCTGTGGAAAGGGAGGGTGGGGAGACTAGGAGGATATTTTGAAGCACTGGTGCCTTCCTGGGTATCCCTGAAATCACCCTGGTTCAGCGCCCATCTGGTCTCCTTAGCTCAAGGCCAGCCTTGCTTGGCCTGTGCTCACTCTGCTACTGCTGCGCCATCTGGAAGAGAAAATCAGGAAGATGACTTCAGTTTCTTGCTCTCCTAGGGTCAGGCAAACATGGAGGCCACAGCAGCCCCATAGAAGCAGCTGTTGCCCATGGTTGGTGGTGGCAGCAGTGGTGTCATTAGCAACGTTAATGAATCACTGCAGGGCCGACTCTCTTCTCTGATTCAGCTTGAAACTTCTCACTGTTAACAGGAAGCCAGTAACCAGGGAAGTCAAAAGCTCGAATGGAACTCCCCAGATTGGAAACCGCTGGGTGTTTTTGAAGTTTCTATTTCTAAAGCAAGCTCCC